GCTGGCCTGGATCAGGGTGTTTGAGGATAGGCTCAGAAGCAAAGGCGACTTTCAACGCCTCAAAAGCTGCCTGCTCCTCAGCACCCCAACGGAACTACTCCCCCTTCTTGAGCAGGAGGATCATGGTAATCTCCTCTTGAGTAGACCTCGCTTTTCCTGATCCTATCCTCCCTGTGTGACCTAGGATGGATAGGGGATGGGCCTGGATCCTTCTCTGACTGCTCAGCCAGCCTCTGCCCTTCCCAAGCTTCCTCCACCACCTCTGGAGCCACACGCCCACTCCCTGTTGGCTCTTCCTCCACTTCCTCAGAGTCAGACTCCACCAGGGGAATGACAGGAAGGGGGGGCTTCGTACAGAAAGGGAGGGGGTGGTCCCAGCCCCAAGCAGCATCTTGGCAACATGTCCTAGGGATAGCTTGCAAGTGTTTGGACTTCGGGAGTCCAGGCACCTGGCTAGATGCCAGAAGAGAGGGAGCTTTAGTCCCAGCTTATCTGTGAAAGCCAGCTGGAATCACCAGGAGACTGGGAGTTCTAGTCCCGCATTAGGCACGAGTGCCAGCTGAGTGACTTTGGGCCTATCACCAGGACACTGGGACTTCTAGTCCCGCCTTAGGTAATGAAAGCCAGCTGAGTAACTTTGGACCAATCACCAGGAGACTGGGAGTTCTAGTCCCGCCTTAGACATGAAAGCCAGCTGTGTGACTTTGGGTCTATCACCAGGAGACAGGGAGTTCTAGTCCCGCCTTAGGCACAAAAGCCAGCTGGGTGACTTTGGGCCAAACACCAGGAGACAGGTAGTTCTGCCTTTGGCATGAAAGCCAGCAGGTTGACTTTGGGCCAATCACCAGGAGACTGGGAATTCTAGTCCCGCCTTAAGCACGAAAGCCAGCTGTGTGTCATTGGGCCTATCACCAGGAGACTGGGAATACTAGTCCTGCCTTAGGCACGAAATTCAGCTGGGTGACTTTAGGCCAATCATCAGGAAACGGGGAATTTGTCTTAGGCGTGAATCTGCCTTAGGCATGAAAGCCAGCATGTTGACTTTGGGCCTATCAAAAGGAGACTGGGAGTTCTAGTCCCGCCTTATGC